AATTCAACTCCCCGCTGTCCGCTTGGTACCCTTTCGCTATTGTAGGGCTCAATGAGAAAAATTGTTTGCAACGCCACTTCGTGCATTTCATATCCTGTTTTGGCCTTGAGTGCATCACATTGCGCCAGCTCAGCTGCATGCTAGCATCCTTACGACTGACTTCTGTTTTCACAGCCACTTTCTTGGGGGCAAATTTTCAAAGTTTGACAATATGTTGACGTATTTCCGCTAAATGCGCGGCTGCTGTGACGTTGCGGTTTCCTGTCGAAAGTTGTCACCCCGATTAAAATGCATATGCAAATTTTTTACCACGCACATTTTCAAGCACTCACGTATAAGGTATGTATAGAGACCGCTGAGTAGCACAGGGAAGCAGTGTTAACTGCGCAATTTTGCTTTCGACTTCTCTTTAACTTTGGCAAAATTTGAATATTCTTCCGCTGTCATTTGAAATTGAATTATGTTTAAGATTCTGCGCTTGTTGGCTGCCTGTGGTAATCATTAACCACAGTGAAATTGGTAATGAGAGTGGTAGTTTAATTTTTTGTTAGATTAGTACGAGAAATAATGGAAAAAAATGTACATTGAATTTTTAATCGCAAATGCAGGGGGAAAATACAAGTTTAAATACATGTTAAAAGAAATTATTTCACTTTTGTGATTTTTGTTTTACCAAGTGCGAATAAGGGTAGCAGTTATTATATAATATAAAAATAGACAATTCAAATATATACTTATACTGAACACACAGTTAAATAAAAAAATTGCAGCTGGTAACATAAGGTGTTTTTTTAGATGTATGTTTTTCAAGAAGAAATAAAACGCATATACTTTATGTTATGGCCAAGAATTTAGCTTTACTATTAAGTTAAGTGTTTGCCATTATGCTTTAAAAATGATTTCGGGCAGGTGACCGGCGTGACTGACTCGAATAAATTCCAGCCTAGAGGCCTAATTTTCGACCACTTTTTGCGGCAATTGAGGTCGTATGTCAGCAGTAACGCACGGAATGCTCTCCTCCAAGGCGTCAATCTATCAGGCTTATATGCGTAGGTAAACGACTTCTCGTAACCCTACAAAAATCGTCAAGCGGTTTTAAATCGCATTATTTAAGAGACCTAAATTGATTATTTCGTTGGCTGTATGGTTAGTGTAGTTTTGTTGGAACCAAAGGTCGTTTACATCAACATCCTCCTATTCAGGCACGAAAAAGTCATTAAAAGCATTGACTGTAACACTATAACCGATTTCATTTTTGGAGAAATATGGACCAATATTCTCTCTGCAAATATATCACATCAGACAGAGGCTTTATGAGGATATAACAGCCGAGGCGCCTGATGGTCGTTCTAGCACGAGTTGGATTTAGCGTCTTCGGTAAGCAATCTACGGCGACTCTGAGGATGCGGATTATCCACTCGAGTAAACGGAGCGCGAATGCGATTCACGGTTGCTCGATTTACCGACTCTGTTGGAATATTCTAAAAGAATAAGATAGAATTTAAAAGTTTGTTATATGGAAATTAGGCGTGGTTTTTATCTGATTTCGCCCATTTTTATATTGTGTAATAAGAATGTTTGAGGAATATCACATGTCAGATTAAGTCAAGTAATTCCGGAGATATAATATTAAGTATTTCAGCTAAAGGTGGCCGGTGCCACGTCCATTGTACAATTCTTATAGCTTTTCCTTTAAAGCCCTTCCATTGTGAGGTTGCCGCATTTATCATCTGATTTCACCCATTTTCACAGTGTATGAAGAGGTACCAAAAGGAATTTTTATCAGTAAGTTTTTAAGATATGTACATTAAACCAATTAGGAGCGGGGCAATGCCAACTTAAAAAAAAATTGTAGCTCAAATATGCCCCTGACTAATGCCATTTCCTGCACCAAATTACGGTTTTGTATTTTAATTAGTTGCTCAGTTATGGCATTTTATATGTTTTCGTTTAATGGCGTTTTGTGGTCGTGGCAGTGGTTCAATTACGTCGATATGCAATACCGACCTCTTTGGTGCCATGGAACATGTGTACCAAGTTTTATTAATATATCTTTATTTTACTCAAGTTATCGCTTGCACAGACAGACAGGCATGGTATTATGGGAGGAACTGAAGGAAGATTTGCAAAAAAAATCATTTCTCCTTGTTAAATATTTGTTGAATTTTCTTCGGCACTAAAAAACATGATGTCTTCTTTATAAGGTTGGAAAATAAAAGCTGGCCGAGTGTTCCATTGCCTGGGTAGTGCTTGCAACTGATTTTTACTTTAGAAAGAAGCCTTAAAACTTATAATTTAAAATTATGCTACAAACTTAATTATTTTATTTACCATATATTTCAATGTAACTAATGCGAATGCCAACTAGAGCAATAATAAAAATTTTGTCTTTACACACATGCATGCCCTTGTATAATGGAAACTCCGCATTTAGATACAACAGCACAAGTCACAAGCACACAAACAAAACTATGTGTGGAATTATATTCTATGAATTTTTCACTTTCCGTTGTGGCAGTTTCGCCTCTGAGCAATTTACTACCGACGACTGTTTAACGCCTCAAAATATGCAAGCCAGGAAAATGTGGGTAATTCTAATTGCAGGAATTTAAGCAATTATAGCTATGAGCTTAAAAATTTATATGCTTTTTAGTGGAAAAGATTACCAGTTAGTTTTTTACGTTCTTCTTGAGTGTGCAGCGTATGCAGCTGCGGTTAGTACTTATAGCTGGGGTTAATTTTCTGTTGGAGGTATAAAATTTGTGATGGTGTTACTGTTGTGGTTATAGGTTTCGCAAATTGAAATTAGTATGGCACTGGATTGATCCATTTAAGCAATTACAATTGACTGCATTTCCTCGTTGATAGTTGGTATAGTTTGAGTCAAAGTATGAAGAGTTCGAAAAATCAATTAACTCCGCACAAAATTTCCCATCTTAAGTTAATTGCAAGAAATACAATTTTCTCGAATATGTAAATACCAAACGAGACATAGAAATTATTTGTGAGATTTTCATTGCATTTTAATTAATAATGATTACCTTGTGCTTTCATGACATAACATAATAGTAGGTTGCCTAAAATCAAATAATTTAATTTGTAATTTTAAGATAAGAGTGAAGCTGATGATGACACGGAGTAATTGATGATTATTTTAGTAAATTTGTATAAGCTGCAAAAATTCTATGTCACTATATCCGTAAACACTCTCCGTAATGAGTGCTGTGGAGAAAGGGCAGACAGTAAAATTTTTGCTCTAATATACATACTGATCCGCCAAGCAGAACAGCAAATTGCTTCGAAACAATTACGTATACATTTAGTGAGAAGTTTGATTTTTATCCTTTTAATAACCGAAATATGAAGTTAATTCGAATTTAATGAACTTTTCTTAAATTTTCAGGCTGGTTTTATGGAAAAAATATTTTATGATTTCGGGCAATGTGCTTGCTTTTTTCAAGACTTTTAAAGGCCTACCACTAGGGACTAGTTTGCGTATATACAGACAGACGGACATGGCCAAATTGACTCAGTTCGTCACGTTACTCATTTCTATATAAATTTTGAAGGGTTTCTTTCTTTCTTCTGGGTGTTATAAGCTTCGTGGCGAACTTAATATACCAGTTCAGGGTATAGAAACATCTTTTAGCATTAAATTAATATAAATATAATATGTTTTAGCATTAAATTAATATAAAAGTTTCAATTTCAACCTGACGTTTATAACTGCAAGTTTTTTTTATAAATTGGTCTGGTGGTATAATTTACCTTATAAATTAATTTCAATAACTGTTACTAGCCTCAGCGATCCATTTTCAAACTTCTTTCTGTTAAATAATAACGACTGTTGTTGTCACATGGTTCGCAGAGATGGCCAACATATTCCATAGCTTCCCCACTTTTTTGCCTGGAAAACTCTACCTCGATCAATGATAACCTAGAGCTCGTTTAGAATGAATAAATCCAAAAGGGCTCAAAAATGTCATAAAAAAGATAATAAAATTAATATTGTGCATTAATTTGTTGGTTACTTCGATATAAAGCAACCTATATTTTGCTGTATGATTACATACACTCGCTTCGAGAACAGATGAAAGTTATGGCGTTGGTGGAAAAATGAATTTAATTAACTTGATTAAAAGGGAAAAGTTATTCGTAGTTATCAAATCGAAAATAATCTATTTTAATCTGAGAGACTTTATTTCCGTGTAAGAAATTTTTAAGGTTATGGTTTATTATTGACTTATCAGCTAACTCAGATAACATAGTTATGGAATGTAAAATCTTTGTAATTTTTTTGCGGTATTAGTAGGTAAAGTCTATAAGGAAATATACAACTCTATGAACTATGAAAATTATTAGTGTTATTAAGAAGTTTTTTAAAATGAAAGCCAATATTGAAATAAGTTTAATACTTTGTACTAGTTATTTTATGTGTATTAAAAAGCGCTTACTTTAAACGTTTTTGGCGCTTGAGTCACCCTAAATCACGTTCGATTGCACCTTGAGCGTTCAATTTTAACGTCCTCCAATATTACCGTAAACATCTGACAGGCTCATATTAAAATACACCAGTATGCATGAGAAACTGCAGCACTCTAATGCTGACGATGACAATTTTCTTTCTGCAATTTTGCCGCCAACAAATTGCAGTGCTGACTGCGAATTCAATTTGATTACGAATTTGGTTGCGCTTGAGAAGAATTTCTTAGATTTTTCTGCAACATTACATTTTCATTAAGCCCAAGTTAAGTGTAGTGGAGATGGAGAGAAATCAAGAGGAAATATTAAAAAGTAGATATAGTGAAAGAGGCAAGAATTAATAAAAGAAAATCGGTAAAAAAGTTGTAAAAATAAAAGTAAACAGGGAAGAAAGAAGCCAGTAGAATAAGTTTGGGTTAAGATTTTTTGTTTTTATACTTCTTACTTACACGCTCTGCGTTTTACCAATTTTTGGTATTTTCTGCGTTTTTTAAATTTCTTTCCTTTTATCTTTGCAGCTTGCTCAACTTTTACCAATGGAGGAGAATTTCCTTTTGCTCTTTCGTTTCGATAATCCACTGGAATCCAGTGTTGAATTTATGAAGGTAAGTCGCTCAAAGCAATTAACACTCATTGCAAAATATTTGTTAAATACACAGAATGGAAATCAAAGTAAGGCAACATGTAGAAAAAAGGTTTGGGGAAACGTATAGACGTTTACACATATCACTGTATATATTGTAAGCAAGCCTTACATTCATTGAGTATTCTCTTACAGCCAGCTTTTCTGCGCACACACTTTCATTTTCAGCACTGTGCAACCACATGAGTTTCCTAAAGTTTATTTTGTGCTCTAAACGTGCTGATGTATATGTGAACCTTTTCTGCTTTAAATTACTTTTTTACTTTGCACTTTTGTATGTAGCTTATATTTTTCATTCGCCTTTTCCCTTATCACCAAAGGGTCTTACGTTATTCATACGCCTTGTTGCACCTTTTGCAATCAATTTCTGGTCGCAAGTTACTAACTTTACACAAACGCATAGAAAATGTTTGCTTTAGTCATTAGTTGTAAGAGATTAATTCGGTAAGTAGACAAATTTACCAATGTAAGCTAATGTCATGGGAGATTGGCAGTAAAATTAAAACTTTGTGAGAAAGTTGGCTTTCCTTATTTTTTCTAATTTAATGCTTCAAATGCGCATCCTGTAATAGTAAGTAACTGTAAACATATGTTAGTGTATTTGGCTTCACTGTGTATTACACATTGATGGCTTGAGATCTATCTAACTTCAGTGAGACGATAGTGTTGAAAGACCAGCTAGAAATCGTTATTCAAACTAATTATAGATCTAAATAACATTATTTGATCTGTATACCATAAGTTAGCTCCTAAATTGTGATCGACCGATAACATAACCTAGGGTATCATTAATACCAGTAAGACATGTACGCCGAAGTCACTCAGAATGATCTCTCTAAAAAATTCTAAGGATAGCCGATTTCTTAAGTAAAGCTTTAATGACAAAACATTTGGCAAGTATTTTGGTTTGTACTAAAAAAATTTCATTATATTTGATAGCCGAAAAGTGTTAATTTAAAGATCTGTTATACATTTGTTTACACTTAGATTTTGATTGCAAGTTCTGTGAGTAAATGTTAAGTTCTCTGTTAGTTAGAGTTGAAAATATTGGATAATAATATAGGCGATTCCGACAAATGAGCCGCTTCTTGGCGATTTGTGCAGAGCGATATCTCAAAAACTGAGAGATTAGTTCGCTTATATACATACATATGTACGCTCGTCACGCTGATCATTTACATATACATATATATATATATTATAAGGTCTCCGACGTTTCCTTCTGGGTGTTACAAACTTGATATATCCCGTTCAGGATATAAATATATAGATTAGTGGTAACTAGAGCCCAAATGTTTAAATTTGGTTACATATTTACGTACACAACGCTGGAGACCCTATAAAATATATATATAAATAATCAGCATGATGAGCTGAGTTGATTTAGCCATGTCCGTCTGTCCGTCCGTCCGTCCGTCTATATATATGCAAACTAGTCCCTCAGTTTTTAAGCTATCGATCTGAAATTTTGTACCTGCACTTTTATCACTCTCACAGCTGCTCATTTGTCGCAACGCCCGATATCGGACCACTATATCGGAGACTATAGCATATAACTGCTATACAAACTGAACGATCGGAATCAAGTGCTTGTATGGAAAAATCTTTCGTTTGACGAGATATCTTCACGAAGTTTGGCACATAATATTATTTAAAGCAATAGTGCAAGCTCCGAAGAAATTGTACAGATCGGATGACTATAACATATAGCTGCCATATTATGCTTGTATGAAAAACTTTTTCATTTGACGAGGTATCTTGACGAAATTTAGCATGAGTCATTTTCTAAAGCAAGAATATACTCTCTGAAAAAATTGTTTAGATCGGATCGCTATGTCATATAGCTATCATATAAACTGAACGATCGGAGTAAAGTGCCTGTATGGAAAAATATTTTACTTTTTATTGCCGATTCACGAAATTAGATCTGACTCAATTTATTGGAAGGAACCTTTGTATCTGTGAAGGGTATTATAGCTTCGGTTAACGTTTTTGATTGTTTTAGTCTTAATATTGATACCATGGTCTTGAAAGCAAAAGGTGTTCTCAGTTTTGTTAAACGTTGGTCTAAAGAATTTAGAGATCCGTGTATTTCTAAAACACTTTTTACAACTTTGGTTAGAACTATATTGGAATATGGCTTTGTTGTATGGTAGCCTAGTTAACAAATTGATTCTGACAATTCAGAGTCTTTTTAAAAACAACTTTTACTTTTTGCTTTAGGGCAATTCCGATGGGATATAAGGTTAAGTCTTCCTCAATACACTAGTCGTTTAAAACTTATAAAACTACCTATACTTACTAGTCGTAGGGAAATGCTTGGCATAATATTCTTTGTGAAAATCCTGAATGGACATTTTGGAGTTCTTTCCCTCTGTCTGCAGATAAATTTAATATTCCGGTTCGCTTGTTGAGGCAGTTTAGACCTTACTGTTAAATTTTTTTAAATCAAATTTTGAACAAAACAAGCCTTTCCGCCGCATATTTCATGATTATAATTTTGATTCCTTCACATTTGATTTATATGATTCATTTTTCAAAATTAGAAAAACTATATTGCTTTCTCTTAATAAATAAAATCGTAACAATTTGTTATAACTAATTTTAAAATCTTAGCTGACGAAATTATTATTTCTGTAGATGAGCAGTATTAGTTTTAAATCTTAGCTAAAGAGAAATAAGTATATGGGACAGTTCCATGTTTGGCGCGATTAGTTTCAGATCGGTTTCAAATTTATTAACCAGATACGTCTTTGTTTATTTATATCAAAGGAGGAAATCAGTTTTTACACAGAAATGCCACGCGGTACAAAACTCACTACTGAGGAGCAGTCCCAAATACTGGCATTCAAAGAAACTGGAATGTCCATACGAAAAATTGCAACGAGAATGAAAAGAAATAAGAAACGATTGAATTTTTTATGAATTCCTAAATTTCAATCACTCCTTACTGATCATTTCGCGGACACACAATGAAAACATTTGTTATTTATAAATATGTATGTATTTCACTTAAATATTGCCAAACAATCAATTAATTGTCACGACAATGATATTGATAAAAAATATAATTCTACTTGACATTGATTCAAATAAATGACGTTAATTAAGAAAAACGACAGGCAAGTAACTGACCAAATAAAACATTCGCACAAAAGAGGCATGACAGCAAATAGGCTGGCTAAAATATTGCGGGCAGAGGATGCGCAATATTTCGTGCAACTTTTGCGAAATTAATGCATATCAAATTGTCCGGAAACGAATTGCGGAATTAAATACATAACAAAATAGTAAATAGATATGCGAAACGTTTTATGGAGCAGGAAAATGTGAAAGCAATTGCCAAACAAACAAAAAACGCTGAGTGATAGACAGAATGAAGAATGATATTGAATGATAAAGGAGTAGCTGAGTGGAAACAAAAATCTTAAAAAAATTTTCTACCAAAAACTTTATATTAAATTTCCGCCAAACTTTTGCTTTAAAATTTTCTTTGCTACAGCATACTACCTAACCTTATCGTATGCGTCTACTTCTTATCTTGTAAGTCCATTCATTTGCCCCAACATTTTTCATTGCATGTTCACAAAGCCTCTTTATCACGAACGCTAAGCTTATGCTTTACTATTAATTTTCATAGTTGTTGTTGTTGTTTAGATTGTTATGTAATTTGTTTTGCCTATCATTCACTTTTTGCTTATTATTTGTTTGTCTTTTTGATGTGTTTTGCAGATTTGGCGTGAATATGACACTGATAATTCTGGCTACATTGAAGCTGATGAGCTGAAAAACTTTTTACGCGATTTGCTCAAGGAAGCCAAGAAAATTAATGATGTCTCTGAGGATAAATTAATTGAATACACCGATACGATGGTGAGTTTTTGAAAAAATATGAATAATGATGAAACGATAACGAGCGTCGATGTATGTAGATACATATGTATATCACGAAAAATTATTAAAGGATTTGTATTGTTTCATTCGCGCGGTAAATTGTTTGCTATTTTTTCAATGTGTTTAAGTAGATGTCGTATTGGTATACTTTCTATCAACTTTAAAACTTGCTTATAAACTAACTTATAAATATGGCAGTTGATCTTGAAGAACGAATATTTGTATGGTATGATATTAAAGTAGATGTCTTCATATTTCATACATATAATGAATAGTGCTATTTAATCTGATTTTTAACGGTGTTAATGACGCCTCTGGTGTAAAATAAATAGTATTATTTTAGACATGTAGTTTTTAAGAAGAAATCAAATAAACATTATTTAATGTTACGCCCAAGAATTTAGCTTTATTAGAAAAATAAGAGTTTGCCATTTTGTTTTTAAAATGATTCCGAGGAAGTGATCGCCGCGGATGGCTCAAATAAATTCCAGTCGTGAGGCCTAATTTTCTACCACTTTTTTGCAGCAATAGGAACCGTATGTCATCAATGACGCGCCAAATACTTTCTTTCAAGGCGTCACTCATCTCGGGCTTATCGGCGTAGACTTCACGTAACCCTACAAAAAATAGTTCAGCGATCTTGAAGACCATGCCAAGCCCACGACGCTTGATAATGCACTCACCAAAAGTTTTCTTGAATAAATTTATTGATCATGATCCTATATGAATGATACTTGTCTCAAAGTCCCAATTAACGGGGGTAAAGTTCTGTTTTTGAACCAAAATAAATGTATTAAATAAGTATTCTAAAAGTAATAATAATAATAACGAGCAATACTTAGTAGCCTATTCAATACAGTGAATTTATTCCTCATTAATGGCTACAACTTTTGGTAAAAACTTTGATTAGATCACTTCAAAATATACTTAGGAGCGAAGTAAAGACGCTATGTAACTTGATAAAATACCAAAAGCAATATGAAATCTGAGTGACGCTGATCCATTGAAAAACCATACCAGACCATATTTCTTGATCAGAAAATTTGAAAATCGTTATATTATAGCGGTCTTGAACTCTTTCAACTTATTATTAAACATTTTTAAAGAAAATCCTAGCTGTCTTTAAAACACACACAGAAAAGCGATATTGGGATCAGACCCTGCATATTACTTCATGGTACTGTGCGACGTCTATGCCGTAGGTTCTCACGAAATACTTGTAGGTTTAATCGTCATACATAAAAGGAGTTCGGTCAAGTTGTAGAGGCATGCCAGCTTAATTAGTCACACCTTGGAAAGTGGCGAATCGAATTATCAACTGGAACAAACAAATGTACACGTTATAGTACATAAGTGCTGTCTTGTATCGCCATCCAGGGGTTGCTGTCAAATGTAAATTTATTGAGAGAAGAACAAAGAAGTGATGGAAAAGTACGCACAATTGTGCATTTTTCCGCACCTTCAACTCTAGTCAGCACTAATTGATTAAAACCAAAATTTAGGCAAATCTCTTTGTAGTAAAATGTTTATTTTCCAGGTAAAGCAAACGAAATTTAAATACACAGGAGTTTCGGTAAGAATTGTCAATTGGGCCTTGGGAAACTCATAAAACTTTAGCATAAATCTATGGTAGCGTTGTTAGGTAATTAACCATTGATTTAACGGTGCGCCTTTTTAGCACCATGAATACGTAAATATATTATGGAGTAAATTTGATGTTACTAATTATTAAGTCTGGGTGACTTATTTGTTAATTTTTGTCTACACATAAGTAGTAGTACAAAATATATATTATAAAATCAAATTAATATACACTTATTAAAAATACGTTTACTCTTTTATAGAAAGTATAGAAAATTTATTCGAATTTAAATTTTCACTTTCAACTATATTTTCGCACATTTTTTGGACTAAATTCAGCACAATTTAAAACTATCAAATACCATCCCTGAAATAGAACTGAAACTTAGCGAGGAGAGAATTTCAAACTATTTCTCTCTAATTACATAGAGTTCCATAGTTAATTTTGATTTAATAAATACTCCACTCAATGTAATCTGTACCAACTTCAGTCAGTAAGCTATTAAATTTACCTGAAAATTAAAAGTATTTTCAATATTTTAAATTCACTTTCAGCCCGACTTTAAAATAAAATCCTTTAATCTTTTTTAAATGTTTGCCATGATTTTTTTCCTGTAACTTTACATTTTCCTTATCACTGACATTTTTCACAAGCTTATAATTTGTGGTTGTATAATTCGTTGAAATTTGGTTAAATACTTATTGAAATGAACTTTTAATTAAATTGAGTATTACGTATATGTTATGCAGTGTATATGTAATATGTATGGATGTAGCTACTTTCGTAAATTTATGCCAACACTGTGCGTGTCAAAGCCACAATCGGTTGCTGCCTTTTTGAATTTCAATTGCATTAACTCAAACAGAAATCAATAACCATCACTGAAGTCAAAATAAATACCATAAATTACACGAATGAACACACAAGTAAACACATACTTACATAATATTTGCAAATATTTATGCTTGATGGTTTAATAGAGCTTTATTTACAAATAAAATTGAAGTAAATGTGGCGTTTATTTGCAGATTTTTGATTGAGCATTAATACATACATACATATATCAGCGGTGTAAACTCTTCAACTACTGAACTGATTTTAGTAAAATTAAGGAGTCTGGATTTAACTATAAAGATAGGATAGTTATTAAATAATCATGTGTTAAAAATTCCAAAAATAAAAATAAAATAATTCTTCTCACTTTCAGTAAAACGTCAAATGGAAAATTCATCATTTTTTTATTGACAAATATTTGTATCAATAATAATAATTAAACCTCAAGTACAATTCCGTGGATCTATATATGGGCAATAACGTTTTCCCTTTTATCCGTATATAATATTTTTACTGTATTATGTTTATTATGAAAATATTAAATACTTACCGTAGCTACATCAACGTATGACTTACTATGGTATGGATCCACTAGTATATATATAAATACATTCAATACTACGATAACATTTCTTCGAATTGGAAAAATGACAAATTCCACCACGATCACTTATTGTTTTATTGCTACCAAATGGCTTAATTTTAATTGGGTATCCTTTGAAAAATAGTGTTTCTGATATGTGTCAACATTGATTTCAAAGTGCTCAAAACAGTACACACCTGCTTATTATAATGCGAGTTAGTATAAAAAAATTTATAGAATCTGTACCTATCGTCTTCTAGCTACCACATTCGATAATTCTGATTTTCATCGCTGAAATTGACTTTGTATTGTACAATATATCGATGTATATGTGGAATATAAAAAAATGAATAACATACTGTAATGTGGTAATAAAATAATCGATTTACCTTATATACCGTATGACTAAAGGAAGTGTTGAGAATTGTGTCCACCTAGAGTTGCAAAATAGTCCCAGCTTAACCGAATGGAGTGAAGGATTGCTGAAATCTTTCTCCTTCTTACCTTCCAATAGCAGTACTCGGTTATGGGATATATTTATCTTTTTTTGTTGCAAGTTGCTCAAGTTGAAATAATGAAATATATTATAAATAATTTTTGTAAGTAATTTTCCCAAGTATACTACTATACGCAAATATGGCCACATTTCGGAAAACTACATTCAAATACTGTTTAACAAGTTTAATTGCAAGCAATCCAATATATAAAAGTATCAAAAATCGTGGACTCTAAAAAAAAACATTTTGTGCTATCCCCAACATAGTCTCCTACCAGAAAGATGTAATTTTTCTTAGATTGCTTCTAATATTGGTATATCGACATATAGTCGAGATTTCTAGGATATCTACCACAGTATCTAGAATAACACATTTATGCTAGCATTACACTAATAATAACATATAGAACTTAGAGTCTCGAGCTGGTCCGACCCAGTAATGGGTTTTGAATCATAGGACCCATCTCGATGGGAGGGAATTTAATAAGACGTTAGTAGCTTCTCTGGAAATAACGTCAAATTCCTATTCGTAGAAGAACACAACCTTTGTGTGCTGTGTTTTGTCCAAGTGTACTTTTCGAAACAAAGCAAACATATCGAATTGCCTAGAATATGATGCTTCGTAATAGTTATGAAGTTACTTCGATTACTCACCAATCTATTGGGATATATTAAATACCAAAGTGTGTACACAAGTATGTCTATAATTAGATTTAAAAGAAGTAAAACATAATCTTAATTGGAATGGTGCTCTAGATCTTTTACCAGTTGGACAAAGCTAATAAAATTTTAAAAATAAAAGGTTTTCTGCACGACCGTTAGAAACCGAAATTCTGTAGTGTTCTGTTCACTTGGCCTAGTCCCAAACTAATTTAATGTCTTATACTGTAAAATTAGTCGAATTTTATATAGATCAGATCAGCATACAGTTTTCCATGGCAGCAAGACTTTGTTTTTAAATTCAGAGGCCATAGTGTCGAGTTTCATTCATTTGTTCTCTAAAGTAAGGTTTCAAAACTTTAAAGAACTCAAAACTGTTTTATTGGAACACATGAGCCCTAACGAATTCTTGAATGGTATTGGTCAATAAAATTAAACCCGCAAACGTGTCCTGGAAGTCAATGTTCACTAGATATTAATATATAGAGTGTAAGGTGTTATGGGCGCATTGCAGCTGCACAGGCGGAAACACAATTTGTAATTGTGTGTGCACATGAATTTTAAGTAAACACTGGAGGTCGATTGCAATCACCAACTCACGCACACACCAACATTCGCCACATGAGATACACGGAGGTATGTTTATAATATGTAACAGTGTAATTGCAATTGCGGCAGTGCGGTCAAAATAGTTGAAATCTCAACTGACGAACTAGTGTCTCTAGTTGTTGAGCCCTGAGGGTGGCATAGGAGCGAAAGTTCTACTGATATGCTATCAATGCTGTGGTCGCTAGTGAATAGAATGTGCAAGTTGTCTTATCGCT